CATGGTAGTTGCAGAGGCCAGAAGAGGTCATTGGATCCCTTGAAACTGGAGTTATTCATAGCTGTGAGCCACTATGCAAGTGCTGGGACTAGTACCTAGATTCTCAGAGTATCACGTACTCTTAACTACTGAGCCATCTCTCCAGTCCTTATTTCTGGTTTTTTAAGGCTTCTATCATTATAAAGGTTGGAGGATCCTTTTGGCATCTACTGAGATGATTATATGTTTGTGTCTTTATGTCTGTTCATGTCCTGAGTTATACTTATGGATCTGTATATATTTGGCCAACTTTACATCCATGGAAGAAACCAACTTAGTCATTGCTCTCACTTGATTTCTGTTGCTGAGATAAGACACTGACCAAAAGCACATAGGGTAGCAAAGGATTTATTTGACTCACACTTTCAGGTCTCAGTCCATCCTTGAAGGAAGCAGAGCATGAACCCAACCAGGGACTTGAAGAAGAAACCATGTTTCTGGCTGACTCACAACAAGGTCATATTTGCCTAGCTTTCCTTTATACCCCACGGCTACCTGCCCAGGGAATGGTATCACCTATAATGGTAATCAAGACAGTCCTCCGCAGACATACCCAGGGCCAGTGTGACACAGACAATGCCTGGATTGAGGCTTCTTCTTTCAGGTGACTCTAGGCTGATAGTTAAAGTTGACAGCTCAGTCTAACTAGGACAGTCATGATGTGAAATCTTAATGTGCTCTCCAACTTTTTCACAATAAATATTCAAGAATTTTTACATGTATTTTCATCAGGGAACCCAAACTGTTGTTTTCTTTCTTTGGTGTATCCTTGTGCAGTTTTGGAATCGTGCTCATCCTAGCCTTGTAAAATAACTTTGGTAGTGTTCCTTCCCCTTCTACTTTGTGAAACAGTTTGAGGAGCTTTGGTATTAGCTGGTAAAATTTAGCAGTGAATCCATCTAAACCTGGACTTTTCCTTGTTTTGCTTTTTTTTTTTTTTATTTTAATTACTACCCAGTTCATTGATTGCTGTAGATCTGTTTAAGTGTTTTAAATCTTGACTTAATTTTGGTAGGTCATATGTATGAAGAATTCATATTTCTTCTAGATTTCCAAGATTTTTGGAAGTGTAAGTTTCCAAAGTACTCCCTAATGATTCTCTGGTTGTTTGTTTGTTTGTTTGTTTTAGGGTTTTTAAAAAATTTGTATTGACCTCCTTTTTTTTACACCTCTCATTTCATTAATTTGGATGTTCTCTTTAGTTTGGTTATTTGATTAGGTATCTGTCAATCATATTTATTTTTTCAAAGAAACAACTCTTGATTGATTCTGTGCATTGTTCTTTTAGATCCCACTTCATTAAGTTCTTCCATAGTCTTTATTATTTCTTGCCATCCTGGGGTAGGATTTGTTTTGTTTCTTCGATGACTCACTGGTCCTTCAGAGAGTGTATTGTTCAGTCTCCTTGTTACTGATTTCTGATTTTACTGTACCATAATTTAATAATATATTAGATTATTTTGACTGCTTTTTTAATTGGCAAAGCTTGATTTTCAGCCTAGAATGTGGTCTGTGTACTTACAGAAAATTCAATAGGCTGCGAAAAAAGGAGGATATTGTTTCCATTGGATGAAATATTTTGTAGCTGTTAAATCCATTTGATCTATGGTATAGATTAACTCTGGGGTTCCTTTCATTGATTTTAAGTTGGGATAAATCTAATGAAACCAGCCACTATTATTGTATCAGCACCCATCTATCCTTTATATCCATTAGTGTTTGCTTTATGAAGCTAGGAGTCACATTGTTTGGTGCATACGTGTTTATAGTTGTTTTATATTCTCAATGGATTATTTCCTTTAGTAATGCATAGTCCCATTCTCTATCTCCTCTGACTCATTTAAGTTTGAAATCACTTTATCAGCCATCAGAGTGATCTTCTCTAGTCATGTCTACTTAGGATTCTAAATGCTTCTTGTATTCAAATGTGTTTTTCTTTCTCTAGTTTTGAAATTTTTTCCTGTTATCATGTCTTTGACAATTCTCTATACATCTTTCCATTCTTTGTATTCTTATTTTCTTCTACATTTCAGCTTCATTTATTATAATTGTGGGATGTGCAATGTCATCACACACAGGCCACTGAACGCATGTGGAGGTTAGAGGACAACTTCATGGAGTCTGTTTTCTCCACCTTTAAGTGGGTTCTGGCCATCTATCTAACCCAGGATGTCAGGCTTGTACAGGAAGCACCCTTACCTGCTGAGCATCTCATTAGTCTGGTTTTGTCTCTGATTGTGTCAATGGTTATCATGGTCATTCTATCCCATCCTCATTTGATGCTTTTCTTTTTGGTACAGTGTTTCATCAACCTGTCCCGATATTCTTTCTTCTACTTGGTCAAGTCTATGACATTTTCCATTATGTTTTTTATTTGATTCATTGATTTTTTTTTCACCTTCTAACTTTCTTTTTTAAAATCTCAATTTTCTTGCTGAAGTTTCCTTCCATGTTGCTGACTTTTTCTTCAACCATATGGCTTATTTCTTCTCCATATTTTGATACTCTCTTCTCTATTACTGATTTTCTTCTCTAGATCTGGATTGAATTCATCCATTTGTTTGCACCCTCTCTCAGGTCATTGATCATTTTTATACGAAATTTCCATCTGAAATCTTCCTTATTTCAGCATCTTTGATTTTAGGAGTTAAGGAGTTAAGAACTTTTGTAGGAGTCATGTTACCATGCCTTTTCTAGTTTCTTGCATTTTTGGCTCACATTATGTGTATTTTTTGGTTAATAAATCCTTCTGGATTTGGGAAGTGGGTACATAATTTTATTGAGCAGCCTACTCTTGGGAGATGACTTCTCAATAACACTGTCAGGAGGAGATAAACTCCTGTGCCAGCAACATCAACCAACAAGACATGGAAATACACCTGTAGTGATTGTATTGATATGTGTGTCTGTTTGTGTGTGCATACATCTGCACATATACACACGTGTGTCTGGGTGTGTTGTCACCTTGACAGGATCAAAAATTACCTCAGAGACAAATCTCTAGGCTGATCTGTGAGAGATTTTCTAGAGTAGGTGAGGTGAGAAAAACTACCATAACTGCTGGACTCAATAAAATGGAGAACGTGAGCTAATTGCCAGAATTCTTCACTCTCTGCATAGACTGTGGCTGTACCATGAGCCGCTGTCTCCAGCTTCTTCCTTCCTTGCCACAGTGGACTGTGTCCTCAAACTGTGAGCCAAACCAAACGCTTCCTTTCTTAAGTTGCATTTGTCAAGTATTTGCCCAGCAAGGAGATAGCAACTGTATGACACTTAAAATCAATTGCAATTCACTAATATGCACCCATGGCCACAGAACTCAAAAATAACAAATTCCTGTAGCATGTACTGTAATTAGAAATTAGTTAAGTGTGGGACTAGTGAATGACTGAGATTCAGGAAGGAGGAGGGAAAAGCAGGCCAGGGGCAGGAAACAAGTTTAATCATGAAAGGAGAGAAAATATGGAGAATGGTAAAGAGCATTATAGAGGGGAAGAGAAAAGAAAACTGTGTAGGGAGTGGTGATTTGAATGATAGTGGCCCTTAGAGGTTCATATTTGAAGATTTGCTCCTTAGTTGGTGAAACTGTTTGGGAACGATTAGCAGGTTTGGTAGGCTGGCCTCGCTCTGGGTGACATTTTAGCTGAAGGGTAGCTCCCACATATTGTTGGTAGTGTAGGAAGAAACAACAACCCTAAGATGTGTATAGGCAAAGGCCCTGCCTTTGTACTTCCAAGGCTTCCTGAGTATTGGTTTCTCTGCTGGGGAAAGCTGCTGTGGAACAGGCTCTTCAACAGTGAGTGACGGCTACATGACTCCAGAATGTGATCCCATTCTGACCTCAGGCTCAAAGCCATCAAACGCCAAGGTCTTCTGAGTTGATGACCTGTGTTCTGGGACTCCATGGGCAGGGCTGTCTCTCCTCCTCCTACACTTCCTAGCCTGAGCTGGTCTCCTGCTGCCTATACCTTTCCACCCTCAGTCTGGCCTCCCGCTCTCTACTGCCCCTCTGTGCCTTCCTTCACCCAGAGGCTGTGTCAGGTCACTAAGTCATTCTAACCTGTAGGTGTTCCCTAATCTCAGGCCCTCAGGGTAGCTCAGTTGTTAACAATAGAAGGGCCCAGCTGCTGCTTGACAAAATGGAATCTCTCCTCCACTGACTGTACTCCAATGAATCACTGTCTTGCCAACATCTGCAGCTAGATTTGAGGCTTTGGACCCGTGGGCTTGTTTTGGAGGTAGGCCTGCCTGTCTGTCTTAGGCCTTCTGAGTGCCCTCCACCCCTCCCCCCCAGGAATCAGCACCAATGCTGCTATAGTGTGTCTCAGTGTGATGGTGGCTTTTTTCTTTTTTCTTTTTTTTCCCCCTGATCTTTCCCAGTACCCTTCACTTCCTTCAAGAATTTCTGAAGCTTTTATCTGTTTCTCTCATTGGGATAAAGCCTGTTTTGTTTTTTTCTTTGTGTAAACATCTCTTTAACGGTCCTTCAAAGGAGGAGTCATTACTTACTTCCCGCTTTCTGGCCTCTACAGTCTCCATGACTGTTTCTGCAGAGGGTAGGCATCCTCTGGTCCTTTCTGGGCAGGGAATCCATGTGGTTCTCAGCAGTGGGGATGGTAAATGCAGTTCTGTGCTGGGCCTCTGGCCTCTCCTCTCAGAGTTACCTGGCACCTTTGGCCCCTGAGTTCTTTCTGGAATGCAGCTCTGCTTGCTGTCTACTGGCCTTTCCTCACTGAGAAGTTAGGTTTCAGATTCCCAGGACCTGCCAACACAGTTTCCATTTCACATCTGCTTCCTGTCATAAAATTCTTTCCTGTCCCTTTTCTTTGACATCTTCGATGTTTTGCGCTGTACTTTTATCCTTTTCCTATGATTTTATTGAGATTCTGGAAAGAATGCACAAAGCACCGCCTCTGTCCAGCTCCAAGTCACCAGAGCCCTTTTCTATTTTCTCTTTGTAGTAAAAGAGGGCAGCCTAGAGTCACCTGAGGAGCCACTGGAGTGTGTCAGGTAAGGTTTACTTGATCGATGTCTCTGTCGGTTTTTCAACCCAAACCACTAAAATGATACTGACTTTATGGTTTATAATGAAAACATTAAAAAAAAGATCTATGTTTATTTCATTTCTGTGTATGTGGGTGTCTGTGGAGGACAAAAGAGAACATTGGTATCCTGAAGCTACACTCTCCCGTGACTTCAGTGAATCCCCTGATGTGGCTGCTGGGAAGTGAATACTGATTCCCTGGAAGAGCAGCAAGGGCTCTTAACTGCTGAGCCATGTCTCCAGCCCCATGCTCCACATCACCGAACTTAGAAAGGGAATTATTTGTTTCTCTTATAATAAACATTTTTAGGAAGAAGGTGGGAAATTACTGCTTTCTTTCTATTGAATCTACAAACTTTGATGTATCTGTAACCAACTGATTTGTTTTATTTGTATGTTTTAATGGAGAGATGTGCTGACAATGGAATAAAGATAAACCATTGTAGATCACAAAACCCCAAGTATTTTCAGAGAACATACAGTTAACCTTATCTCGGAAAACTGAATCAGGGCCAACGCCATTGTATCTTTTCTTCCTTCCTTTTTTTCTTTCTTACAGATTTTATGTCTTGATTTTTAATGGAGGGGGGATTGCAAACGAGCACAGTGAGGCCAGCAGAGGGTGTCAGATCCCTCCCATGGGAAATTCCAAGGGATTGGGGGTTTTTCAGTGATTTCATGTTGGGAATCAAACTGATCCTCAGGAAGAGCAGCAAATCCCCTTGAGCTCTGAGCCATCTCTCCAGCCTGGCAATGTAGCATTACTTTGACTTTGAGCATCTGAGCAAGGCACAGTCTATAGTCTCCCAAACTGTAAATACTCAATAAAAGTATTCCAGCCTTTGCTTTCTTGAGCTTGAAACTTAAAGCCACTTAGCCCAGGTTTCCTTGACTGCCATCATAAAAGGCAAGACACAGTCCTGGAAGTGTGCAGAAAGATCATGTACAGTCACATGGCTGGGGCTCAGTGAAGGCACTGCTGTCCACTCCGCCTGTGGAGGAGAGCACCATCCCCATCTTGATCATCTGACAACACTGCCCACATGTTGCCTCACCGTCTATTAAACAAGGGTATCCCTGGAACAGCAAATGTTCTTGCTGCCTGGTGTTTGACTATTTGCAGTATCCTTTCACACAGTGCTGGCATCAACCAACAAGTCCAGAGGACCTGACTGGAAGATAACCTTTGGTTTAGTTTCAGCTGTTCCTCTGAACCCAGACAAGGATGAATGACACCAAATCAGGTCCGGTGTATCAGGCTCTCTTTGTGCAACCCTGAATTCTCTGGAGAAGCTAGAGTCAGGACTTCAGAAACGCTCCATGGTTCTAGTATATATCATGATGAGATTGGCTGTGTGGGCCCCCAGGTTTGCCCCCCCATATGCTTGTTCTGATGTACAGCTCAATTGTGTCATCTTTCTTTGGGTCACTCATTCTTTGTTTATTGGTGTTTGTGTTTATGTGTTCATGTGGGGGGGAGGTGTCAGGCCATGCACACAAGACAGCTTTTGGTAATCACTTCTCTCCTCTCTTGGTGAGCAGGGCCCCTCATGTTTCTGCTGGCCTGATCTTCTACATGGTTGCCCTGTCTGCCTGTCATCTGCCTTTAAGAGTGTTGGGGTTACAGATGCATGGTACCCAGCTTTTTCAGCAGGGTTCCCAAGGATTAAACCCAGGTTCACTGAACCATCTTTCTGGTCCCTACTTTTTAAACATGGCATCACAATGATATCTAGCAGAGATTATTCAAAGAGAAATACTGCTCTTAGCAATGTGGTATCTAACCCATAGGTCTGGAGCTTTGCATGAACTTCATGAGCAGAAAGAAAAGATCTACACATAGAGACATGTTCCAGTGGCATAACTTCTCAATACAAAGGCAAAACAAAGCTTGAGCAAAATCTGATCAACTGCATGGAACGTAGGCAGGGAAGCAGGGGGCTCTGTTGATGTTGAACTTGCATAGTCAGCTGCGACTTTTGCATATCATCTAGAATGACACTCAACAGTTGTGCACAGTCTTTTCCATGGAAGGGCAGATACTTCATTGGTGTCTTAAAAATTTATTCACTGAACACACTATCCTGTAGCAGACACCATACCCCAGTGTTGGGGACACACCCCTTTAGTATGTGATCCCTAAACTCACAAGCCTTGTATTCTAGAATGCAGAGCTCTTCTACAAGAGAGACAGCAGGGACAAGGTGAGTGTCGGAAACATCTTCCACCAGATGCCCAAGGCTACAGGGCAAATACTAGTAGTATAGCTAAGAAGGAATTTGAGGAATGCTAAGGTCAGAGAGAGTGAGTTCTATTTAAGTGAATCACTTTGAGCAGAACACACACACACGTACACACACACACACACTTTTCTATCTAAGCTTCTTTTAGAAATCTATACTTTTTTATTTTTAACCAAGTCATGATTTCAGTATCTGTATTTTGTAGGTGCAGTCTGGTGTTTAATTGAGCTGTGACCATTTATTGTTGAGTTGCATCAACACAATATAATAACAACAAAGGCAGATGTAGGCCCAAGATGCCTAGGTAATGTTGAGGAGAAATAGCTTCCTTGACAGGACTTGGAAAGGCTCATGTAGAGGCCTGCACTGATCAGCCTGGAGGTCTTTTCTAAAGGCAGGGCAGGAACTCCCCTGTGGACTAGGGAGCAGGGCTTTTTCTGCAGTGGGAAAGCATGGGTCCCACAACTGCTCAACACACTAGTCTCTTCTTATGGACAGGCAGTGAGCACATTCCAGGACCCCAAGTGGATGCAGAAGTCACAGATGGTAACACACTGTGTGTATATGCTGGCCAAGGTAAACCATTGGGTGGATTGCTCTATCCCTCACTGAACCTAGAACTCCCCACTTTCTGACTAGGCTGGCTGGCCAGCAAGCCCTAGCCATCTTACTATCTTACACTTGCAGCCATGTTGGGGCTGCAGGTGCAAACAGTCAGTCCAGCTTTTACATGGTTCTGGGAACTGAACCATGTGTGGCAAATGTCCTTACCCATAGAGGCATCTCCCAGTCCTGGTTTAATCTTTGTAGTTCCTGTTCCTATCCCTGCCCTGGTCAGGCAGTCTCAGCTGTCAACCTGGGTCTCTGCATGATGGGGAAGAGCATGAGAGATACTGAGGAGATGACATCCCAGGTATGGCCTGTGGCAGCCTTCATATACAATTATTTGACTGGACCCAGACTTGGATGAGTACGAGTATGGAATGAGGAGAAGGGGGGCCTCTATCTAGAAAAATTTGCACAGAAACAGAAGTACAATATTATAGGATATTCAAGATGTACAGGAAATTCCAAGAGTTGGTGGGGCTGTGCAGAAAGGAATGAGAGACTGGAAGAAGGAAGAGAAGGAAGAGCATGGCCAGCTGATAAAGAGCCTCAAGTTAAGTTTAAAAGTGTTGAGACTTCATCTCCTGGAATTAGATGACAAATATCACTTCCCACAGGGACATCACCCTTTGTGGCATAAAGAGTAGAAGGTAGAAAAGCAGCTAGGAGTGAGCTGTGAGAAATGAGGAGATACTTTGGGAAGGCAGTTGAGGCCAGTGACTCTGAGTGCTGACGAGGCGCTAAACTTGGCTCTTTGCATGCCTGATTTCACTGAATACTCATGACAACCCCATGAGAAATGTTCTTTCTCTTTTAGTGAAGAGAAAACAAGTGTGGAAAGGTTACATAATTCACCCCATCACACAGCCAGTATCACACAGTGATGGAGCCAGAGAGTTTACCCTGATAATTCCAGAGCCTGTAATCTTAACCATGATGCTAAGAACTAGTTGGTGGTGTAGGAGACATTTCCAACCAGCCTAAGTTTGAGCTGCGTGCTCCTTTCATAAAACAGCATCACCATTATTTTCTTCTTCCAGGCAGTGAGCCTGCCTTTTCCCCTTGCTGGAAAATTCCAGGAAAGAAAAAATTTGCCCTAAGTTTTAAATTACGCAGTTTAAGCAGCAGGATGAATCTTGTGGCGTTTCACTCTATCACCTGGAAGGATACTTAAATTCTTACCCAGTATATCCACGCTCAGCATACTCCATCCTCATCAGTCACCCAATAGCCATTTAGACTATCAGATGGACTGCCACAGCATTAATGTATATCACAATGCCTGCATCACTCATGACACTTCATCTTTTCACGAAGGCATCTGTCAACCCACATCATAACAGGAAGTAAGTGCAGGGCAATAAAATACTATAAGACACAGAGATACTATACTCGTTCATGACACTTTATTATAGTATGTTGTCATAATTGTTCTGTCTCAGATTACTTGTCTTTAGATTTATTTATTACATTTTGTGCATGTAAATGTTTTGCCTGCGTTCATGTATGTGTACCATATGTATGCCTGGTGTCTCCAGGAGTGAGATGAAGGCATTGTATCCCCTGGAACTGGAGTTAGAGATGTCTGAGAGCCACCATGCGGGTGCTTGGAAAGGTACCCAGGTCCTCTGCAAGAGCAACAAGAGCACTATACTGCTGAGCCATCTCTCTAGCCTCGTGTCCCAAAACATCTTCTAAAAGAAAAACAAGAGCCAAGCAGCAACATGTATGCTCTCTTCGTCTTGACCACAACGTGACCAGCTGCCACCATGACTTCCCTACCATCTAACTGTGAGCCTGAAAAACCCTTCCTTCCTTAAGTTGATTTTGTGACATATTTTGTTACAGCAACAAGTGACTCACACAGATGTATAGGGGGAGATACACACACACAAACACACAAAGAGAGGGGGGGGGGGGAAAGACAGAGTTTGGCACTATCTGTGACTTCTGCATCCACTTGGGGTCCTGGAATGTGCTCACTGCCTGTCCATAAGAAGAGACTAGTGTGTTGAGCAGTTGTGGGACCCATGCTTTCCCACATCACCCCCTGCCTGCAGAGAAAGCCCTGCTCCCTAGTCCACAGGGGAGTTCCTGCCCTGCCTTTAGAAAAGACCTCCAGGCTGATCAGTGCAGGCCTCTACATGAGCCTTTCCAAGTCCTGTCAAGGAAGCTATTTCTCCTCAACATTACCTAGGCATCTTGGGCCTACATCTGCCTTTGTTGTCATTATATTGTGTTGATGCAACTCAACAATAAAATGGTCACAGCTCAAACACCAGACTGCACCCTTGCTGCCTCTCTTTAAGTTGGTCTCTGCACTTCCTCTTCTAAACACTAGTTTGGAGATTGTTTTCCTTAATGGTTTTATCTGTCAATCTCTTTTTCATCACCAGATCCCTAAAGGTTATTTTGATTCCTCTGCCATAGCATCATGTGAGTTCACCTCTAAAATCACACCCGTATTTTACTTCAATCCCACATAATGCTTTCTATTAATAGAAAACTAGTCTTTCTGGGCTTCATGAAAGATTTGACCCCAGCATTCCTTCATCTCTCACGAGACAGATAGCCAATCAAATCTTTCTTCAGTATTAACTTGGCTTCGTCCGTGCCAGTCCCTAACCTTTGCTCCCACCCACTAACTCTCAGGTAGCTCACACCTCTGCTTTGTTTCCTAAGTGATCCTCCAATGAGTCTTATGGAATTTACCCGGTGTGAGACCCCTGAAGAAACTGTTGCTCAAGTCCCAGCTTCTTCTTTACTACCCTATTTAGGAATGTGTAAAACCAAGCTTCACCTGTTTGAACAGCCTTCAGCTGCGCTCAATCTGAACTCTCCACTGAACTCAACCTTTTCTTCCCTTCCTCCAACATCCTCTGTGTGTACATGCATGCACTCCATACCCCAGCCCGGAAGATGGCTGAGGCTGTTCCCTGAGCCTAGGATGCCTTCTTCCTTTCCACGCACATGCACCCCAAATGACTCCCTGTTAATTGTCAAACAAAAGTTTTATTACCTCCCTCCAAATTCCTTCATTTATTGCCACCTCAAATGACGTATGGTCAATGTATCATGTTATCCAAATGTTGAACCACGCAGAGCCTTATCATGGGAACAGAGAAAGCCAGTCTCTCAACTCATTCAGGGACATATCTTATTTCAACAGAATAATCAGCTCTAGTGTCCAGTATAAATTTATAAATTTGTATTTCCTCCTTTTTCATGGTCACAGATGATATTCAGTACTTTCTTGATATTGATGGGAGCCACAAACATACTTTTATGCCATTTATCTCCTTGTTAGCCTCAGAGCCTATCTGGACAATAGTAAATACAGTTATTATTATTTTAAGGGACTGTTTCCTTTATAGAATTGGAAATACAAACATTTAAGATATTCTGCTTTGGGTATTCAAGCTAATCACAGTTATACCTCCTAGGGTAATATTTTTAATTATTCTGGAAGAAAGAAAAGCAATCCCCAGAGGGCTAACAGTTTGAAACTGAACAGGGCACCTCTGGGAAGGGAGAGGGTCATGGGTCATCCTCAAACAGACAAAAAACAATGGAGACGATTGTGCTTAAAGATGGTATATTTTTTTTTCATGAGACAGTGTGTTGACAGTTTCCTTCCTCTTGGGTCATTGTTGTCTGCTAAATGATCTGTGACGGCAAATTGATCTCAAGATTTTCATGCAGGAGACACAAGGCAGCCTTTCATTTTGTTATCCTCTCTGCAAAATGCTAAAACATTTCGGTGTGTGTGGGGGGGTGGTACAAATTCATGTTACTTTAGCATATCATTTGGCCATGTGAAGCTTGGCAGTTGTGCTAGAAGCAATAATAGTAATGGTTAATTTATCCTCACCCAGTTTCAGAGTTCTACTTATGTATGATTGGTAAAGTAATAACACATTTGAAAAATGTTAGTCTTAAAATTAGGTGTCGCAAACAGCTAAATAAATGGATGCCCTGATCCATTCAAATATTGCCCATTAATTTCAAAATCAAGTTAAATGTTTACCTTAAGGAGCTTCTTCCAAAGAACCAAGAAATTAAACTGGAAAACAGACATAGGGATATTACACCTGGTTTTCAAGTATCTATTTGCACCAGTCAGCTGGCGATGTCATGTGGCTGAATGTTATAAGTAGTGTTTTATTTACAGAGCTATAAATTACTGTGTTTGACAAGTCCATGGTAAAAGTGCATGCACATGCAGTGACTCAGGAAGTGTTCTATAGTTGTTACTTATTGCTTTTCAATAATCTTCACTCTCCTGCTAGGGCATAATGACATTACTAGAAAGGGGTTCAGGTTGTGGGGGGATGAGAAAAGAGGGGGATTTCCATGTGGCTAATTCTGTGTAAAAATTAGTCTCCATTCTGAGGCTTTTATTCTCTCTATGAAGAGGAAATATAAACAATCATACTAAATGGCACTAACAAGGCATTTAAGAAAACTTTACTATAGAATGAAAAAAAAAGTTACAAATGTAATGCTTCCCTTAAAGTTCCTTTTTTGGTATATCAAGACACGGTTTCTCTATATTGCTTTGGAGGCTGGAGCATGTCCTGGAACTAGCTCTGTACACCTGGCTGGCCTCTAACTCACAGAGATCCACCTTCTTCTGCCTCCCAAGTGCTGGGATTAAAGGTGTACATCGCCAACACCCAGCTGAAGTTCCTTTTAAATGTTGGAATTAAAGGCAGAGGTCTTAAAGCTATTTCTTTTTTGCAGTATAAATAAATGTGCACATAGGTGGACATTTCTATTCGTTATTGAAAATGAATTATACAGCTTGTCTTTTCTATGATTCATACATGTCAGTAGTGAATTAATGTGTTTGATCCATCTATTAAATGTGCATTTCTTATATTTTTGGTTGTGAGCCTAACCTTTAATGGCTGAGCCATCTCTCTGGCCCTAAATGGGCATTTCTTAAAGACATATATCCAAAACCCAGAATGGTGGCACATGCATGTAATATCAGCACACAGGGGCTGAAGCAGGAAGATTGTGAGTGTCAGGCCAGCGTGGGACACAGAGATCAAGACTACTAGGGACACAAAAGAATCAAAAAAGAAAGGAAAGTGGGGGGGAGGAGTATCCTAATTTTCAAATCAGTCTATTTTGATATATTAGCTGAATTGTATACTCTGATAATTTGACAAATGATATATGATCTGACTTTTGTTTATATTTTCAGAGTAATTAAAACAATCTCGTTTAATGATTACTACAAGACATGGTCTGAGATAGCCACGACAAAAATTGCAGAACACTCCAAAAATCCATGTAAGCTGATCTAACCTTATTCTGTGTCCTTCTGATATCAACTGACCTGTTGGTTATTCTCAGTTTGTCTTACTCTCAAAGACTAATTGACACGTGTCTGCTATGCAATAGTAATAAACTGTTCTGTTGGCTCTCTATTCTATACTGTTCACTCAGCAACTGTTAATTTAATTCATTTGTGTAGAGCCCTGACCTGAGCAGGCAATTGATGGAATTCTTAATCTTATGAGGTTAACTTAACTGTCTTCACCCAAGAAAGGACAGTTCACAGCAGGGTGGACCTTTCCATTTCAAAGACAATTTAACCCCTAAGTGATCGCAGGCATGGAGAGCAAATGCAGTCAGAAAATGTAGGAGTGGAATGCTGTTCAGTTACATCAGTGTAAGGACACGTTGTTTGAGGACCACAAAGAAAAACAGAATGTGAGAGCTGGGCCACTGGTTCCATTTAACTGAACTTTTAAAGTACACATCTATATTTGTCTCCAAGCAGGCTATCCGGCTCAGTGAAAATGTGCCTTTGCCCCAGCCATCCTGCCAGAGTAGCAGGGCACTGTGATGTTTTGCAGTGCTTCTCTTTCTTAGCTGTTACTGCCTATGTTCCCCTTGATGTGTGTGATGCCCTGCATCCACGAGTTTTATTCTTTGTTCCTAAGTATTCTTCTGCCTCCTTTCTCAGTGATGACCTCTTTCCTGCCCTTCTCCTTGTCTCTCTGAAAGCCCTCTCCTACTTCCATGTTTTATTAGTCAGTGCTGCCCAAACCACCTCTCTGCCCACCCACATGCACCTTTACAGACCTGCACCTATGTAAAGTACAGGTGTGCCATTTAAGGTAGCCTGAACCTGGTTCACCCTTGAGCTCCCAAACCTGTCCTTTCTTCCTTCTGTGTCTTAGGTTCTGGCAGCTCACTATCCACCTAAGCATCCTTAAAACAGCCGTATGCCTCTTAATCTTTCTTGCATCCCTGATTTATCTCTTGCAATGTTATGATGCTTCTGCTCACCTCAACCCTTTTGGTCACTGCTTTAGTTTTGAGTCCCATTGTACATAGTCTCATTGTAGTTGTTTCCTAACTAACTATAGCAAAAAGTTGCATGTATTTTTTTTTAGGCATGAGTTAAGGCAAAAGTACTACTAAGCTTAACCAATACAAAACCAATCAAGATAATATTTATGAAGTGGCATGCTCTTTCAGGAAGTTGCTTACTGATTATTTTGTGATTATACATTATCATCCTCATTCACACACTAGTGGTTGAAAAAAAACATTCACAGACTTTAGCAACACTATTGGTTCAAAAACTAGTATTTCTGACATTAGATTTCATGGGTGTTTAATTTCAAAGTTTGGTGGACAGATGCACCTTAGCTAGTCATACATTTCAAGTACCGACCATGTATGGAGTATGGAGGCACACAGATGGATTTGGGGACAATAAGCATTTGTTGTGAAACCATGATGTTGAAAGATACTAACTCCATGGACTAACAGGCAAATTCCTCAAAAAAAAGTTTTTTTTGTCCCCCAGGATGGAAATGTGTAAATACATAGGGGTCCTCAGAAACTTATCTCCCAGGCAAAGATACAATAATGTGCCAGAATTTGAGAGCTTTTGGGAATGATTGCCTCTTAATAAAAAGTGTTTTTAAAATGGAAGAAAATTACGGTGATTTCCTGATGGTGGTTCCTCCCTCAAAAGCCTTTGACTCCAACTTGTTGAATTGTGTTGTTTCTACCTCCGTCGATCACTAACCCAGTCTGTAACTCACCCTCTATAAAAGCAGGAGCCCGGGCATAGTTCTCTGCAGCCTAGAAATAGTCCTGGGACTTTGAATCTAACTGTGGATGACAGATTTCACAATCCCACTGCCCTCCTTCCCCTGGAATTATTCTAAAACTGTTCCAAGAGCCTGCCTTCCAAACAACCAGAACCAAATTTTCAAAGTAAATGCAACCCTGACACATGCTGCTGGCCATGTTGTCTTTTGATAGTTCAGCTGGACAAAAGCCAACATTCTCTTTTTAACAGCCTAAGACCTTTGCAGTAATGAAGCTACAGCTTTCATATTGCTGAATGCTTCTCCAGCGACTCGCAAATACATAGGAACCTTTTATAACTTCGTTCACACATGTATATTCTTATCACTGGTGAGGTCATTCATATCCGATGCATGTTTTAAGAGTTTAGTATTTTATGAGTGGGAAGTAGTTGTATTTTGATTTGGAAGGTAACGCTTTTTCATGTTTGAGCCACAAAGCTATGTTTAGATATCAATGCCATAATACAGTCTACAGAGTGTATCCATATATATTATGCTTTTAACTACCCCAGTTCATCATTCCGTTATTTATTCAACGAATATTTATTACTAAGCACCTGAATATATGTAACAAATAACCATACATCTATATGCCTGAGAGAACAGACATTATCCTAACCCTCTTTTTTTCAGATGAGAAATGTGACTAGGAGAAACCAGGTAATTTAGCTAAGGAGAAGACACCATATACTGATAAAGGAGGTAAATTCTGGAGCCAAATTTCTAGGGTTTATCTTGGCTATCATTTGCTGGCTGTGTGACAGTGGTAAGTCCATTGCTGCCCTTGGCCCAGCTTGCCTTGTTTGTAAAAATGAGAGTAGTCACAACACAGTCATGTCACAGGGTCGAAGTGCCTAGAGAACTGCATCCAGTACACGTGCCCATTCACAATCATTAGTGCTGTGGTCCAAAGCCGTGGATTAGACTTCTGTCTCTCCATTTCCTTCCTATGCTGCCATTCGGCCTTTATAATATGATAATATATTATCCCAGCATAGTGTGAGATTTACATTCAAATGCTGAAGGATGAGTAGCATTTCTGAAACACATGTCACTTCCATTCACAATCATAGGAAATCATATAGAGAAATGTACCAGTGACCCCACTGTGCTCTGCCCATCCCTATAAAATGTCAAATACAGGGTTTGGCAGAGAGAAAACGCATGCATATGGTTGTAGGAATGGTTCTTTAACGACAGAATATGATCCCCATACGGAAATGCTTACGTTCCAGGAAAAGAATTCCTGAGAGCAGCTTGCTGTGCAGCCTGAGCAGAGGCTCCCTGGTGCTTGTTTGCTGTCAGCAGGCAAACCAAACAGCCTCCGGCATGGGGAGGGGGTTGCTTTCACCCCAGGAGACTTTCAGTCTTTGAGGCTTCCAAAGGCCTCCTCCTTCCTCGAAAAGAGGCAGTGTGCCTGCCTCCAGAGCCTTGCCGCACAGCCCCAACTGCTCATTAGAGCCACCTGAGGAGCCTGTAAAAATTCCGACATAAAGAGCACACCCAGACCAGTTCCATCGGGTTTGGCGGGAGGACTGGGTAGTGGGAGTTTTGAAAGCTCCCCAGGTGACCATAATGCCCCGCCACAGGTGGGAACCGCATGATGTCAGGAGTTAGCAACTCCTTAATCCTAAACTAGTTTCACAACATACAGGTAAGAACGTGAGCGGCTTACCGAATTGAGCGCCATCTTTCATTCCTCTTAATGAGCAGAGACTATTCTCCCTTCTTTTGGGTGCTCTGTAGTTGCATGAGATGTCATGTGTGTAAACAAAACACACTGGTGCAACCATGTTCTCTGGATGTGACAGTCCCTCCAGAGGAGATGAACAACTTTGAAGTAAACTTCTGCATATGTAGGGCAAGCAGTACATCATTGTCAGTGGTGGAAGGACAAACTGTCACACAACAACCTGGATTCTCCTACATAAAAATGTAGGCCAGGATTCCTGGCGTCGATGCCAAAGATGAGGCAAAGTCGGAAAGTCTGTTAGAACTATTTTAGTGTAGATTTAAGCATGGGAGTTAAGAGACAGGCACTCAGAAAGACACACCCCAGTAGGTTATATGTTTCTCAAGGGAAAGTAGGAAAAATAAGGCATGGGCTTTTCAAAGAAGAGTGGCATTTGATTGTCTTAGTATCACCCATAGGTGCCCTTTTGGTGACTCTCAAGTTAGATGTCAAAGGTTGCTCTGCGATTCCTGCCCCCCTCTGTTCTCATTTGATAAGTGGGATTATAGAGTGGTTCTGGAGGTGCCTTCGATGGAATTAATATTTGATAAAGGGAATCCAGAAGCCTCTAGGGTTGCCCAAGGCCTTTAGTGTGCATGTGTCCTTTCCTTGCCTAGGGAAACCCTGAATGGGGTTTCTGGGGACATGCCTAGAAAATTACAGGTTCACAGCTGGGAAGGGAGAGAGGCCCTAAGCACTTCTTAATCGTGCAGTCTTCAACTGGATTCCAAGGAGAGGAGTATTTCTCTCCTCTTATGCCCCCCACCCCCTGCCTCTTTCTATCCTGCCTCATTATGGGAAAAAAAAAAGGGGTCCTGAGTTCTATCCCACTGCTGCAAAAACAAACACAACCCAGAATGGAAGCAGCACTGTTATTTTCAAGAGAAAGAACGACACTATAGAAAAGAAAAAAAAATCCATTATGAAAGCAGTGGAAGGGGCCCTCTTCTGCCATGGCTTACAAAACTGCCCACAAGCAAGAGATGTCAGGGAGGGATTTCACCTCCAGAACTTAGGCCCTAACCCCCGGTCCCTCTCCTGCCCTCAGCCCCCATTGTTGTCCTCTAATCAGAATCATTTCTTGAGCATGTTTGTGCTAATGGTTGACTGTGTCTGGAGACAAGAAGATGGGTATTGTAGGTAGGCTCTCTAAGGAGTTTACAGGCAGGTGGTAGAAGACAGTGGAGCTAATAATAATAATAATAATAGAGGTAAATATGAGAAGTGTTAAAAGTCTATAAGAAGAACTGGTGTCTTCGCCTGTGTGATAAAAACAGTGAAGCTATAGTCAACAGAACATGGATAGACTGCTTGGGAGAGGTGGCCTGGCCACTCTGGATTTAAGGTTGAGACTGCCTGCCATACAGATTCATATACACAATGCAGGGAAGGCCTTTTTTTTTTTTTAAGTAAGAAAAAATATGAATCATCTCTAAATGGAAACTTAGCAAAATTCTTAGTTTTGTCCATGCAAATGGAAGATTGCTGATAAGAAGACACTGGAACATTGCTAGTCTGTTTGCCTGGACTGGAACATTGCCTGTCTGTTTGTCTGGTATACCAGTATAACGGCTCTCCTCACTACTCTACACACACACAGCCTAGAGTAAGAATTCCAGTAATGTTACTTATAATACTCACCTAAACGAAAGACAGTTCTTCAACAAGAACTCTAGAGAGCCGAGATTGTCTGCTTTAACAGAAAAAAGACGTTCTCCTCAAACGCCAGCACAAAGAGTCTAATGGGGCCTGGAAGACAGTGTGGATGCATGTGCTTGTATAGATCTGAGGAAGAAAAAAGTTGGTGTATATAGGAATAGGAACATTGCTGATGAAAAATCATGTGATTTAACAGAAGGGGGAAACCTTTTTTTTTTTTTTAATCAAAAGCAAATGACATTACATTACAAAGAAGTAAATCATTGGCCAGGTATGGTGGTGCACACCTATAGTTTCAGTGCTCAGGAGGCAGGGACAGGCAGCTCTACTTGAGTTCAAGGCCAGCCTGGTCTACAGAGCTAGTTCCAGGACAGTCAGGGCTACACAGAGAACCCCTGTCCTGTCGAAAGAAAAAGTAAAACATCGATATGATAGAGATTCCAAACAACAATAGGAGTGGAAAGCATCTGACTAGTTAGGTGGTTCAACTACAAACTCAGAATAGAGGAGAGGAGGGAAGAAGGGAGGGGAGGGGGGAGTGAGGGGGAACAGGAGGGGAGGGAAGGGGGGTGGTATGTGTGGCTGTGTAATGTAGGTTAAGAGTGCAGTACAGTTTTCGGAACTTTATATGTGAATTTGATTGGCAGCACAAAGCTTGTGACTAACCACAAACTAGTGAACCAGTAAGGTAACCTGACTTCAAAATATGCTAATGAAGACTCAGCTAGGTTGAAAAAAAGTGCATCACACAGCAGGCTGGCAAGTCCACTTGCACCTGTACCAGTGAAACTAAATACAAATCCTGATGTTTGGGAGTGCTAGGAATAGAAGCACAGTGCTCTGCCCTGAACCGCGTTCTCTGACATGGACATAAAGGGGCTTTTGTTTTGTTTTAGATATGTATAAATATGTGTGTCTGTGAGTGGAAGCCAGAGGTGTTAGATTCTCCTGGAGTTGGAACTATAGGCAGTTGTGAGCTCAGTGGGTTGAGAATTGAACCTGGATCCTCTGGAAGAACGGCAAGTGCTCTTAACCACTGATCCATCTTCTCCAGCTTCTGGACATAAGTTTTAGTAGGAACTAAGGTTCTCATGAGAGCAGTGGAGATGACTGTTGTTGAAAACCCAGGTCCTAAGAAAATGTTGAAGGAGCAGAGGCTTCCTTAAGATCTGCCTACCAGTATTAGAGGTTCACTGCTGGGGAGAAGGATGAACTTGACAGGCATGAATCCAGAAAAATGAACTGGGCCAGAGGCAACTCCCAGAGGCCACTGCAGCCCTTGTCATCAGCCAAGGGAAGGGACAGTGTCATGGAAACATGGCCAAAGGGCTCCCTCAGGGCCAGTAGGACCATCCGTTTGAGACTCTTGCTCTGCGGAAGATCCAGATCTGAAATGTCCCTGGGTTGTAGGTGTCCAGCAGCATCTTTACCTGGTGTGCACAGACTCTGAATTTTCCCAGAACTAGGCACAAAACAAAGTAACAGTTTTCAGAGTAGAAACTAAAGCACTGTTATTTAAATCCCAAGATTTAATTTTTTACTCCAAGTGCTGCATTAGAAATTCATTAAGCTATTAAAGCTTGTGATCTTCATGAGTTCTCTTAATGCTTTATTACTATTACTAAGATACAAAGTTTCTGCAAGTTTAAAGATGTAATTGGCTTTTATCAGTGTACCATGAATTGGGTAGCAATTTAACTAAGGGATAGGACAGCTTGGCTCCTACAGAAACCAGAAAACAACCAGGTGAGTTTTCTTATAAGGGAACAGGAGAGGGGACTTCCTCACTTCACTGCCCAGCCTGCCTGGGCCCTTCCTCCTGGTCACTGTGACGCTGCTTTGGGGACTCCGCTGCTTGCTTGAAGCTTGCATGACACTGTGAGCACAGCAACAAAAAAGGAGACTCCACCTTTCTTGTTTTCATCATGACATGGTTCCTCTGTGTTGCCCTGGCTGTACTAGAACTCACTCTGTAGACCAACCTAGCCATCTTGTATTGGTGTTGGGGCCTAGTGCAGAACCTCAGTCCAAAACAATGGCCTCCCATAAATTGTATTTAACTGCATAAATGATATATAAACAAATGTCATTATAATGAAAACAATTTCTAAGTCACAATCTACTTATTTCAAACACTATTGAGTATTACACAGTTCCAATAAAAAGAGAACCTTTGCAAAGCCTTCAAGCAATGTAACATGAACTATATATAGTGTGGGCAGTTGCCACATATCAACTTAATGGAAGGTGAGTTACTTTCAACTCGAAACTGCATTAAAGAGCATATGTGAATACTTCTTTTTGTGATCGCTTTATTTCAGTTGTTGGAGATCCAAATTTCATGGAACAGTATTACAAATGGAAGCTACAGGATCTGCATCATCTCAAGCAGCAGAAGTTGAAGTAAGATATTCCAAATGCTTTGAATGTACATTAGACTTGAGTCTCAGTGATCCCGCTCTCTATTTATTGAGCCATTAGCACAAACCCTGGGAATAGCAGCCCCTGCCTTTCCTAAGTGTGAGAACAATAATAAGAGAATATAATCTGCTTTCACAGGAACTCAGGTAGGAAAGCTGACAAAAATGGAGACAGGACATGAGCCATAGTGAAGAGCCAAGCCAGTCCTCCTCCTCAGAGTTAGCCATCAAATTACCTTTTCACCTTTCTCGTACTCCAATTCATTTTCCCGAAGATTTCTCATCCAGGAACCATATGTATGTATGTATGTATGTATGTATGTATGTATGTATGTATGTATGTATGTATGAATGTATGTATGTATATACATATATATGAATAAAAATTATGTGTATATATTTGTATGATTTAGATTTTTTTTATTGGAGGAGGATCTTGGAATAAAGTGTTTGCCTTGCATGTATGAAGACCAGAGTCCAGGTCCCAACACCCATGCGAATGCCAGATAAGCCTGCTGTCCATTCTGCAATCCCTGTGCTCAGAAGATAAAGACAGGGATACTTTTTCTACTAACCAAATTGGAGAGCTCCAGGTTAAGCAAGGAACCCTACCTTAGTGGAACAATCAAGAAATACATCAGATGTCAACCACTAGCCTCCATGTTCAGGTACACAGCCACACATGTAAACATGTAGGTATACGTGCGCACGCGCGCACGCACACACACACACACACACACACACACACACACGTATACACACCCCATACAACAAATAAGGGTATATTTACTGTACGAAGCAATGGGTTTTATAATGATTTTTTTTCACCCAAATATAACATATACTCAGGCCATATTAAATAATCACTTTCTCTCCCTGCCCATCTCTCTGCTATTCCCCTTTCTCTTCCCAGTCTCCCTATTTTCACTGTGTGTGTGTGTGTGTGGTGTGTGTGTGTGTGTGTGTGTGTGAGGTGTGTGTGTGTATGAGTGAGGTGTGTGTGTGTATGTGTGGTGTGTGTGTGTGTGTGTGTGTGTGTGTGTGTGTGTGTGTGTTCTGGATTCCACATAGGAAAGAGAGCATGCGAACGGTGTCCTCTCTTCTCAGCATTCAGCAAACGTGCTGCCGTGAGGCATGGGAAGGGAAGACCTTGTTGCACTCAGCTTCTTTGTCCTGCACTTTAACTGGTGTTGTCAGCAGTCAGGGTTTCGTGTCTTTTAGAGGAGTCACACAGTCATTAAACATGCACTATGTTCTGAATTTGAGCAAAAATCAAATAGGCTTTCTTATCCTTTTTCCTCCAAACTATATCGACAACTTTTCTTTGGGCCAAAGTGAAGCAAAGTTTTTATGTTACTTTTCTGCTCTCAGCATAAGTTATAGGCAGGACAGAAATGTATTAAGCTGAATTTGAAGGCCTGTTTCAACTCTCTTTTGTAGTTGAAAATTTTATTCAGAATCTAAGATGGTCATTGTTTTGACATGACTCCCTTTCCTGTTTCCTGTAACAGAGCTCTTTTGTCTTACTTGTTTGCTCATTGGTTCATTACGTTGGCCAGGGTCTCCCAGAACCCCATGATTTAGAAAAATGAGGACCACATCAATATCAACTTAGTCACTCTCTTCTACATGTGGCTAAAATAACCGAACTGTTTGAGTGATAAAACACTTCAAAATACATTATTTTGAGTTGATAGGTCAAGTTACTTGCAGTGACCCTGTCAGGATAAAAAACGCTCACACCTTATGCCATCTGGTGGCTGATGAGAATATGTAAAGATCAAATACTATTTGCTTCTTATAAATTGTGAAATTGTGTAGTCAGAAAAAAATGCTTTGGATGAAGTTTTTAAAAGATGTTTCATTTATGTGCATTTTATAGTGGCAAAAATATGTGTGTATGTAAATGAATGTAAGCATAGTAGAAACCCAAGGAATAGTGAAACTCAGCTTCTTTCCAGATAACTGTCAGCAATTGCTAATATTCTTCAAAATGCATGATATGTGACAAAGTGCTCAACTGAGATTAAAAAAAATGCTTTCAATTGAGTAATTGTATAGGTGTGCCATAATACTTTTATGTTCTTTAAAGGTTTATTACTTTTATGCATGAGTGTGTGTGTGTATGTGTGGGTGGGTATAGTGTGCATGTGTGCAATGTGTAAGTCACATTCCCTGAAGATGAAGTTACAGGCAATTGTAAATTGCCTGAGGTAAGTTCTGGGAACCGAACTCTGGTCTTCTGAGAGAGTGGAAAGCTTTCTTAACTTCTGAGCCATCTCTCCAGCCTCCTTTATGGTGTTTTTGATGAGGCTGTGTGTTAGCTACTTTGCTTATTGTTGTGGACAAATAAATACCCAAGGAGAGGATGTAAGAAGGGAGGGTCTGTTTTTGGCTTGCCATGTGAAGGTATCAGCCATCATGGCAGAGAAGGCATGAAGCAGGAGGCAAGGTGGTCTTCACATTGTGTTCAAGTTGGGGAGCAAGAAATGTGAGTGCTGGTGCCCAGTTTGCTTTCTCCTTTTTCTTATTTTACTCATGGATCCTAGCTCATGGGGAAGTGCTATTCACAGTCAAGATGGCTCTTCTTTCCTCAGTCAAACCTCCCTGGAAATCAGATGTGCCCAGAAGTATGCTCTCTTCATGATTCTAAATCTTAAAGTAGCCATCATAGCAGAGTGAGGAGGTTTCCGGACTCCTGGAGACAGAACTCAGGGCTGGGTATTGCACCGTTAGACAAGCCATCAACCACTGAGCTAAGTACCCAGCCCCTGGCTTCTTCAGACAAGGCTGGCTTTGAACTAACTTTGTTACCTGGGCTAAATTCAAACTCTCTATCCTCCTGCCGCAACCTTTTGGGTGTGGGGATTACAAATGTATACCATCACACCTATCATCTCTCTGTTTCCAATAAATGTTTGAAAATATCTTCCTTAGGCATCACTCTCCCTGTGGAGTTGGGGGAGGAATGCGATGGGAAGGCGGTGGGGGGGGGGACATGGGAGGGAGGGAGGGAGAGAAGGAGAGAGGAAGGGAGAGGGAACTGGGATCGATATGTAAAATAAGAAAAAAAATAAAATAAAACATAACATAAAAAAGAAAGAACGAAAACATCTTACTTATCCTGATATTTCCTGTTTAAAAAAGAAAAAAACAAAACGGTCGGAGATGTGGATCAGTGGGTAGAGTTCTTAGTTTACCACATGTAAGGATATTAATTCTATCCTCACTAATTATCCATTCATTAGTTCATTGGAAGGAAAAATATAAATTGAGACTCTTATTTGCATCGTGTATTATCCCTTCTCCTGTTGTTCCCCTGCTCACTGCCCTCCTCCAGCAATGCTTGATTCCTAAGTGATACTTGTTGTTCTTTTGCTGCGCAGCTAATGCCTAAGAAACACAAACACGAGACTCAGAGCCCACGTGGAGTTTATTGAGAGAAGGGAGAGAAAGAGGGGGTAGCTGGTGGCCAACCGAAAGCAGAAGAGAGAGAGAGAGAGAGAGAGAGAGAGGGAGAGGAGAGAGAGAGAGAGAAAGCAGGGGGGGCCAGAGAGAGAGCAAGAGGGGGCAAGAGAGAAACCAGAGAGAGACCAGAGAGAGAGCGGCACTCTTGGCGCGCTTGCTTTAAAAGGGGCTTGCGCATGCATGTGTAACTGAGTCCTCCGGCAGCCAGGTAAAGCTTGAGCTGCCAGGTAAGGCTGATGTAGTGATGACACGGCCATGAGCGCCCCGCCCATCGTGGGGGGGGGCGGGGGTCAGCTGGCTGCTAGTTCCTAACAATACTCAACTATTTTCTCACTCGTACACGAGACCTAAGATTTCTTCCCCATTGGTGCTTCAACCTGGAGTATCTCTCCCAGTAGAGTCTATTATTATAATAATAATAATAATTATTATTATTATTAAAATTAGAAACAATTTTATTTTACACATCAATCCCAGTTCCCTCTCCCTCCCAGTCTCCCGTGCCCCCCATCAACCCTCCCATCTCATCCCCCTTCTGCTCCCCAGGAAGGGTGAGGCCTTCCATGGTGAGTCTTCAAAGTCTGTCACATCATTTGGAGCAGGGCCTAGACCCTCCCCCATGTGTCTAGGCTGAGAGAGTATCCCTCTATTGGGAATGGGCTCCCAAAGTCCATTCCTACACTAAGGATAAATACTGATCCACTACCAGAGGCCCCATAGACTGCCCAGGCCCTCCTAACTGCCACCCATATGCAGGAGGTCTGGTTTGGTCCTATGCTGGTTTCACAGCTGTCCATCAGGGTCCATGAGCTCCCTCTTGTTCAGGTCAGCTCTTTTTTGTGGGTTTCCCCAGCCTGGTCTTGACCCCTTTGCTCATCTCTCCTCCCTCTCTACAACTGGATTCCAGGAGTTCGGCTCAGTGCTTAGCTGTGGGTCTCTGCTTCTGTTTCCAACAGCTACTGGATGAAAGCTCCAAGATGGCATACAAGGTAGTCATCAATCTCGTTACAAAGAAAGGGCATTTAAAGTTGCCTTCCCACTGTTGCTTAGATTCTTAGTTGGGGTCATCCTTGTAGTTCTCTGGGCATTTTCCTAGTGCCAGATTTCTCTTTAAACCTATAATGGCTCCCTCCATTAAGGTATCTCTTTTCTTGCTCTCCTCTATTCATCCCCCTACTCAATCGTCCTGCTCCCTCATGTCTTCCTCCCCCTCCTATTCTCCCCTTCTCTTTCTCCTAACTCTACCTTCCCCCATGCTCCCCATTTGCTCAGGAGATCTTGTCCCTTTCCTCTTCTGTGGTGGACCATTTATGTCTCTCTTAGGGTCCTCCTTGTTTCCTAGCTTCTCTGGGGTATGAATTGTAGACTGGTAATCCTTTGCTCTATGTCTAAAATCCATATATGAATGAGTGCATACCATTTTTATCTTTTTGTGACTGGGTTACCTCACTCAGGATGATTTCTTCTAGTTCCATCCATTTGCTTGAGAATTTCAAGATTCCATTGTCTTTTGTTTTTG